ATAATAATATAAAAAAATAATTAAAAAATCTACCCTAAATCATTTTCCTATATATTTTGGTTTTATTCAAGTAGGTCCACCTGTTGTACTTACCACACTGTAACTATTAGTGCCGTACTTTGACTGGTATCTCCGGAGTTCCAACTGCCTTCGGTAGCCAACGAAGCTGCTGCTGCTGCTGCACTTGACCATGGCTGCTCTAACTCTCCCTGTCCTCTTCATCTGTCTCGCAACCCTGTTTTCCCTATCTCTGCAATCCCAAGAACAAGAAGACACCCCCATCACTCGGTTCCAGCAGTACCTCAAAATCAACACTGCCCATCCCAACCCCAACTACACCACTCCCATCTCCTTCCTCCTCTCCCAAGCCAACTCAATCGGTCTCCAATCACAAATCCTTGAATTCGCTCCATCCAAGCCAGTTTTGCTCTTAACTTGGCCTGGCTCCAATCCTTCCCTCCCCTCAATCCTCTTCAACTCCCATCTCGACTCTGTCCCCGCCGAGCCTTCCAAATGGGTCAACCCACCCTTCTCCGCCACCCGCACGTCTGATGGAAAAATCTTCGCGCGCGGGGCCCAAGATGATAAGTGTATCGGTATGCAGTACCTCGAGGCAATTCGCAATCTCAAGGCCAAAAATGTCAACTTGTTGCGAACCGTCCACATTTCCTATGTTCCCGATGAGGAGATTGGAGGGTTTGAAGGTTGTGCCTTGTTTGTGAAGTCCAAGGAGTTTAAGGATTTGAATCTGGGGTTTGTGTTGGATGAAGGCCAAGCGTCCACTGGAGATGAATTCAGAGTCTTTTACGCAGATCGGACGCCGTGGGGGCTCATTATTAAGAGTACAGGAGCTCCTGGACACGGGTCCAAGATGTATGACAATGGTGCCATGGAGAATTTGATGAAGAGTGTTGAGGTTATTGGTAGATTCAGGGAGAGTCAGTTTGATATTGTTAAGGCTGGGGAAGCTGCAAATTCTGAGGTTATTTCCGCTAATCCTGTTTACTTGAAGGCTGGCATTCCCTCCTCAGATGTGAGTTAGTGTTGTTGCCTACTTCCCTTCGTAAAGTTTTTAAATTGACTTATGACTAGGGATGGTATTGATGTTTGGAAGCCGTGTGTGCAGGGATTTGTGATGAATATGCAACCTTCAGAGGCAGAAGCTGGTTTTGATCTTAGATTGCCACCTACAGCTGATCCGGATCTTATTAGGAAAAGGATTGCTGAAGAATGGGCACCGGCTAGGAGAAATATGACATTCCAGGTACCTAATGATTTAATTGGTTCCATAACCATTGAAGATGCAAAAATGTGGGGTGCCTTTTTTGTTCTGTAGGATATTAATTGATAATCTGTTTTGCGTCATTAATGATAGTTAATTGTTTCTACTAAGAGAAGGTGTACGATAATGGCAATACACTATTTCCATTTCACTGATGATGCAACTTTTGATTGAGAACCTGTCTGCTTAAGTGGTGAACACTAGTTAAGCACAGCTGAATCGGATAGTGTACCATAACAGAAACATATTCATAGAAATCAAGCCTTTAACAAGATGCATGGTCATTATTAATCTATTTAGTTTCTCATTCCTGTATGGCTTGTGCAACTGTATATTTTTGTCAGCGTTGTTGAATTGCACAAGAGAGGTGGTGTTTAGCTTAGTCGTTGGAAAGAAAATACTTAAGTGAAGCTGTTGTTTTCAGCAATTCTATCCGTTGGACCCAACTGAAACTATTTAAAAAGACAGGATGAATCAAAACTTGCTATAGACATTCATCCTTTTCTAAGAGAAATTACAGTAGTTGCCATCTGAGGAACATATGCATGTGCTATTTGATGCCTGAGAATTTTGTCATTCAATCTGACAGCAATTGCATTCTTCAATGCTTGTGCAAATGTAGTGAAGATTATCATTTATGTATATTAAAATCTTTCTTTGGGAGCATCAAGCATACAGCATCATGCATGCACAAATTTTGGTTTGTTGGTTACTCGTTCTTTCACCATAATTATTATCAGTTCTATCTTCTTTTCTACGTGGGTGTATGGTTTGGGTTAATTAGCATTTTGCCTTATCTCTGAATCTACAAAATATTGAAAAATAACTATTATATCCTTTATATATTGACATGGAGTGATTTTTAGAAAAATCAATTGCATTATGTTAATCACTTTTTAATGTGGCAGATAATTGAGAAAGGACCAATAAGAGATTTAATGGGGCACCCGTTAATGACTCTGACAAATGCATCCAATCCTTGGTGGACTGTTTTCAACCAGGCTATTGAGGCAGCTGGAGGAAAGCTTGCAAAGCCTGAAATCTTAGCTTCAACTACCGATGCACGTTATATCAGGCAGTTAGGAATACCAGCACTTGGTTTCTCCCCAATGACAAACACTCCCATCCTGCTGCATGACCATAATGAGGTTTGACTAAGTTGCCAGAATATTCTCTATATTACTTTACAATTCTATTTTGCATCCTTTGCTATTTCCATTTCTTACTTTCTTAACCCAATTTCCAGTTTCTGAAGGATACAGTATACCTGAGGGGAATTGAAGTGTATGAATATGTGATCAGTTCATTGGCTTCCTTTGATGGAGAATCTCATTAGCTGCTTTCAACAGGAGGACAGTGATCAAATTGCTGAATTCAAAATGGTGGCAATAGCACATTGGTATGATGAGTCATCTACCTCTTCACCATTTACCAATAATTCTTTGCAGCATCCCATTTTGCATATTGTCTTGTATTCTAATGGAGTGGCTGCAATAAATTACCTCTATAAAGTAATTTCTAACAATCTTTTTATAAACGGATCATTTCAATAAGAAATATGGAGTTGATCTTCAGTTTACAGATGCCTAGTTTATCTTTCCCTTGTCCTGCTCTCTAGAATTTAAAAGGAAAAATTTGTAAGAATCCCTTTTCACCCTTTAAATAGACTGTAAACATAGACATGAGAATGCTGAATGACAAAATTTAAGATTAGCCTTTTGTTTCTCTACAAATGTGAGAAAAATGGATGAAAGAAAATTTATATAGCCTTTAGTTGGTATATAGTAGAGAAATGAAAAGGAAGAAAATTATTTATTTATCAGTTCAATCTTTTTTAATATTAATATTTTCCTGAAATGATATTTTCTCTTGTGAACTCTTAAAGGCAGATGTAGCTGTAGATTAATAAAACCAACATGTTTTATGCTATTATTCTCTCCCCTATTTTTCTGAAATGAAATTTTATCTTACAACAGTTGTTCTGTTCATGCTTAGGTTAGGTCCATGCAGTCATTAAAGAGCAAAAGCTCAAGTTACTAGATGATGACTTTGACTCGTATATACAATTCAGGCTTGCACTATCTTTGTGATACAAAATTGAGGTATCAAACGTAGGCCATGTTTGGTTTTCATATTCCCTGGCAATGAATCTAGGGAAGTCATGCTATAAGAGCTCACGGCTTCCCCCTAGATGTGCCTTCTGTGACAATACATGTAATCGATTATACCCCTCTTCTTCCAAGCAAAAAAATCCTGGAAGAAAACATTCTCGGGAACCAAATGTACAGTTGACTATACAGGCCATATGTATAGTCGACTACTTCCTCAGAAACAATATCCGGTACCAAGGTGAGCTGTTCAGCACATGCTTCCCCGGATTTTGCTTCCAGTCAGAAACCACACGCCCTTAATGAATTAGCAGGGAGCTACCCTGATACGGCAAGCGTACAAGGATGCAGATATATTAACTTTGTTGTATGTTTTCCGTGTGATTGGCCCATACTCAGTCATGACATAATACAAGTTGAAAAAACAACTTGTTCTGGTACCTCTAAATAAAATACCTTATATATCCAAGCAAAAAGCTTTCAAGTCAACAAGTTTGCTACGCCTCTAGCTAATTTATTGTTTATGTAAGCCATGACGATGGATATGGTTGTTGAACTTTTCTTCCCAGAAATTTCTCTATATGCCGGTACCAATAAAACAGGGGATTTGATTCTTCTCAGACCTTCTTACCCCACCGCATGGATATTCTCGCCCCTTCCTCATCCAACACCACTGAAATTTGAAACCTTTCCTTGAACTCTCACCCATATCCTCCTTATCCCATTGCATTCATTTCTTATTCTCTATATTCATTGACACTAGCATTTTGATATTTGGGTTCAACAGGATATGTTGGTTTGGTCCTATTGCCAGTTGGCTAAATCCCAGACTGCATTATTGCATGTTAGCTTCCTTTGTACACACACGGGTACGGAAGATCATGGGTACGGTACTGCCAATTAAACAACCAAGAGTTACATCTTGTACCTTTCCTTTAATAATATTTGACATTACTTGAATAGAGAAGAAGCATGAATCTTCCTTTAATGGATTTGTGGGTTCATTATCACGTAGGGACCTGAGAACACGAGCGGTGCATAAGAATACCATCCCTTACAAGTTAGGCCAAATTGATAACAACTATCTTAAAAGCTCAAACAAAAGAAAATCTACCAACCATATCACGCGAATATGTATCCTCAACCCCCTCAACGACATACAGTAATTTTCGCTAAGTTGACTAATTTTTAGTGGTAGGTGAAATATATCCCTTTGATACCAAAGAAATATTCCTCAAACAGGCAGTGAAGTACCATAAACGCATTGCTAACTTTGAATTTGACTGCAGCTCCATGGTAAAATTTCCTTCCTCCAGGTTATAATTTCTACCATTCACACACAGCTCATTTGGTATCAATTTTCAATAACACTGCCACAAAAACCACATTGATAAGGGCAAAGTCAAAAACAGGGTAAGTTACCATTCCAATTGGGATACAATGTGGTTGGGAGGTTAGAAAGAACTGAACCCTGTGGGGTATTTGGATTTTGGAAAATGAATCTTCCTTGTAATTTTCCAAGAAACAAAGCCCCTGTTTCATTCCTAAAATTCTGACATATTCAAGATTAAACAAAACTGGGGAGAATGGCCTCAACATGTGAGGAGATGGAATTAAAAAACGTTAGGAGTAGTGCTTTAACGCGAATATCACGGTGCCACCCACCTGATACATACATATACATTAATTAATGTGCCTTAATAATACATGAATAATATAGAATACACTCTGTTTTTAATTTTTAAGAAAAGAGATGCCATCCCCTTCCCCTGTAAATCATGTACCATGAACATACAAAGCAAGGAGGATTATCTTCAAAAAAAAAATAATAATAATAAAAAGCAAGGAGGATTTGTACGGATTGACCACACAATTCTTTTCACACTTGTTTATTATGTAATGCGAGGTTTTCTTATTTCCTTAGGGCAACACTTTCAAACTCTTGAGTTTTGACAGCATGAGACAGGTTGTGTCAAAACCTTGTTTAGCACGAGGCGGTCTGACAATGGCAAATTGGCAATGAGTGTGTGCGCTGGAAAGTTTGAAAGAAAAGACCCTATCTGCAATTTCCAATCGCCCACAAATTTTTTGGCCAAATTGTAGTCAAAGTTTCACTGTGTGAAACTACGTATAAGTTTGAAACGCACAATTTGGAAAGTGCAGGACACTCCACCATGTAATCCGATGATCCATCAATAAGAGAGGTAAGAAATCACTTACTTTGAGAATAATTTCTAATTATTAATAATTTTTAATTTAACTATTAATCATTATCTTTGTAAAACAAAAAAAAAAAACTTGGAAAGTGTCACTTGTCCCTAAAAGGAGCACGTGGGAGGCCATTTAAAATATAAAAACTGGTCGAATGCGTACACCCCACAGTTGATTTTTTTTTTTTCTTTAGTCGTATCATTCTCAGAGAATCCCCTAGAGTTTCTCAAATCCAGGGAAAAAAATAAAAAAGTGACCATGTATACTATGCAATATAGGAAGAACCCTAGAGAACAAAGTCAAATAGAGCAGGCGTAAGCAGCTAAGCAAAATGTCTTAAAGATGGTTCAACTTTTTGTATTAATTTAGTACTTAATTCTAACTTAAGAGTGTGTATGCAATCCCGTTCAGTTGCAGGAAAAGCGTATGCCACGCCCTGACGCGGTTTTGCCCTGCAAGACAGGACAACAACAGCTGGAATTTGGGGGTGTTTTTTACATAAGCATTCAACTTGCCTTCTAAATATTAGCTACCATTTTTTTTTTATCAGATTAGACATCAGGGTGCAGATCCTGGAAGTTGCCAATGAAGAGAATCCAATGTTTCTCTCCACATCATTAATTGTTATTCTACTTTACCACAAGGACAAAAATTTATCAGTTCACAAGCTTTAACGAAGTAAAAAAAGTCATTAAAAACTATGTGACATTATAATTTAATTCTCATCCTACTTGGTTCCAAAGTTAATTTTTTAATTTATTGATTGATATGCTGGTGCATGTGTGCCGTATGGGGGCTTCCAGACTACAAGGATTCATATTGCCTTTTCTCCAGAGACTTCCTCTGGAAAATATGCTCATATGGACTTCTAAGCTTGCCTCCAAAGTCTCCTTAATTTCAAATATTACTTTGAATAAATTTAATCCGCACATAATATTTTTATAATTACATCGGTAAACGTCGCCGACTAATTCAAAAAGAAAAACTCTCTAAATAATCTTGAGCTTGACATATCTTGATTCATATCTCCTTTAATTAAGCAAGTGGATTAATAATTAGCCCTTTTGTTCTCTCTCTGAATTACCATAGTCTTCTCCTCCCACATGTTTGGTAGAAAATAAGTCATTTTAAAAAAGGAAGAAAGAAACATTTTCCTATATATTTTCATTTATAAACTCATCGTAATTAATATATGTAGCTATGAAATATCTGTAACCCAATATTTGATTTTGTTATGTAAATTGAATAAAAACCATACTGTACTGAACGAAAAGGATCCTTCCTCCCCACCCTCATACTCAAATCCCCATCTCTATAAATACCAAACTTCTTCCTCCAAAAGAACCAATAAGCACTTTCAGCCTCCTCTACATATTCCTTCACTCAGAAAAAAACATTATTTGATTGATATCTGTCAAGTGTGCCATCACTTTTGCGTGTAGAGCTGTCATCAATGGTGAAGCCTGAGATCAAGATCCAAACAGGACCCAAGAAGGAAACGCCATCATCATCATCATCAACGTTGAAGAAGAAGTATAAGGGAGTGAGGATGAGGAGTTGGGGTTCTTGGGTGTCAGAGATTAGAGCACCAAATCAGAAAACAAGAATATGGTTAGGTTCTTATTCTACACCAGAAGCAGCTGCCAGAGCCTATGATGCTGCACTCCTCTGCCTCAAAGGTTCCTCAGCAAATCTCAACTTCCCCATTTCATCATCCTCCCATTATGTTCCTGACACCATTTTGTCCCCTAAATCAATACAAAGAGTAGCTGCAGCCGCTGCTAACAGTTTTGGTAATAATGCTACCACCACCACCAATACTACCCCACCAATCATATCTTCACCACCAGCCTCTTCTCCTTCTTCTTCATCCTCCTCATTGGTTTCATCTCCTTCATTATCCTCTTCTTCTCCATCTGATCATCGAGTAGACGATGATGTTTCCCTAATGCAGTCTCTGCAGACCTACAATGAACCCATTCCTATGATGGAACCATGGTACTTCAGCTTTGAAACCCTGCAATCTCCCAAATATGTAGATCAGATGATTTTTAATGCTCCCTCATTATTCGATCCACCGCCGATGATGGATGATTTTTATGAAGAAGGTGACATCCGTCTGTGGAATTTCTGCTAGGCAAGAACAGATTTTAGGGTATACAGATGATCAATATCAAATTCTTTAAATTTGTCCATTCTTATTATTTGTTTTTTTTATCTTCATCACTGACAGTGAACAAATTAAATTCATAGTATGTTAGGTTATTTTAGTTGTATAGGAGGAACAAAAAGTTAAAAAAAAAAAAAAAAAAAAAAAGAAGGAAAAACCATATAAAGAAGAAACAATTTTTTGGCCTATATCTCAAGTGGGTTAATTTAGAATGAATTTTTATGTGTTGATTACGCAAAAAATCAAGTGTGTTAATTAATTTATAAACTATGTGTCATATTGTTAATTTTCTTGTACGTTATGTCTAGGTGGCTAGGGTTTTGAGTTTGAACATAGATCCTCTTCTCATGTGTCATTGGGGAGTGTGGTAAAGTGTCGCTACCTCACCAGGGAACAAAGTGCAGAGTTTTGAAACTTGAAACTATCTGCAGCTAACTTAGTGTTTTATTATAAAGAAAACTTTCTAACAATGGTTAAACACCAAGTCACCAACATCCCAATCTAATTTTAGATTTGAATGTTGATGAATAATTCATTTCTTTCAATTTTCATCATCTCTTCCAATCGTAATAATACTGCTGATTGAAGCAAGCCATCCACGACTATATATAGTTAGTCAGAAGATTTATGAGGAATGTCATTGTCTAACGTTTTTGTATATGTTTTAATGAAGTAAAAGATTTTTGATGGATTAAGTAGCAAATCAATGATCAAAGTGAGTGCAAACTACTACCCGCAGCTGGTCTTGTTTGTGCACAAGAGGGGCGTGGGGCGACATTCCTGGTTGTTTCTTCTACATTGAACTGGATCTCTTGTTTAAGGGAGAGGACCACATGGGTCTTGGATGGTAGGCCAATGGGTAGACCAGAACTGAGCCTCATTTGGATTACGGTCCCACCAGAACCATGAAGTTGCTGTTTAACTTTTTGTGCACATGACATTTCACATCACCAATTCCTTTGGGTCTTCCAATTCAAAACATATCATGTGATAACAAAAGTTGTGATTCAAAGTACCCATCACTCTCCCAAGTTCCAATTATATATTAATATTCCCATTTTGTCCATATCAAGGCCATTTATATATACATAAATAATAATCCTACAATAAGTTTATGGAATCATTAGGAAAGGCATATGTAAGATTTCATCTTTAAAAAAATTTGGATGCCAATTTTTATGATGTTATATTTAGTAATATATCTCAAATAATTAAATTTTAAATTAGTGATTGATAATTTATATAAGATTAAGGGATATTTGTTTTCATATTTTAAAAACAATTATTGTATTAGTTATGAATTTTAATAAAAAAATATTAAATATTTTGAATTATAATAAGTACTTAAAAATTAATTATCAGATATTAATTATTAACTATCAATTACATCTAAACAGTTAATTTTAATACCTCTAATAATTTGAAAGTAGATCATGGTTATGGATGCTAAAATTTATCATGTGCATCTTTTATATTTGGAATCGAAATGCATTATATGGAGAAATCATGGAGTGCATCATATATGGAATGTGTGGAAGCTTGTATGGTTTGGCTGCGGGGCAAATGGGGCAGCTGAATCCTTGCATGGTTCCTTATGTGCTGTCCACTTGTTTTTCTTAATAATTGCTGCTTATAATTCAAGTTAGATCCAACATTGGTCATGACTTCAATTATATTAATTTGGACTCATTAAGGCATAAAGTAAAAACCGATTGACAGCCATCACAAAAAGCAAAAAACAAAAAAAAAAAAAGAAGAAGAAGAAAACATAACAAGGTCTCTGTTAGGGCTTTTGTTCAACCCATTTTTACCTACATTAAGCTAGTAGGAACCCATTTTCATGGGTATATTATAGATAGGCCAAAATCTTAACGAACCTAAAATCTGACCAAATAATAGGTCCTATAAACTACCAAGAAACGCTTTACTATGAGTAAGTTATTTAGGTCAAGTAGCACAATCCAAAACTAATCCAAATTTCATGTTCACATGATATTAAACAAATACTTTTCGAGATCATAAAAGTGTTTTTTAATATAGATTGTATTGTTTTACAATATAAATACTAAAATTATCAAAATGTTCTTAATGAAATTATCCTTCATATTTATTTAATAAAAAAAAATTTGTAAAATTAAAATACAAAAAATACAAAAAAAAAATGCAATTCATACTAAAAAAAACACCTTTCTTTTTTGAGATATACACAATCATAACTTCCTTTTATTACATAAGAATTCAAAATGAGTTTTCTATTTTATAATTTAAACTACACTATATTACAAAACATAAGTCATTGGATAGATGATAACGCTTAATATCAAAGAATTTATGCTCATCTAATGATAATTGTTATATAATTTAATGCAATCTATATTGCATAATATTTTTATTTTAATTTTTATTTATTTATTTTTTTTCTGTGTGTTTGAGAATACTGAGACTTGGGACTAAATTCAACACTTGAGATCAAGTTAAAAAATAAGAAGCCCAGAAGGCCGGTTCATCAAAATAAAAGCAGCTAAAGATAATATAGGAGCCCACGAAGATTAAGCCCAGTTGCATCTCCAACAACAGAAGCAACAGCCTTAAA